TCACAATTGACAGTTTGCCAGTTTGACAACTGGACGTCAAACTATCAAATATTGCGATACTTCAGAAAATTAGTGGGAAATTCAAAATATAATTAATTCAATTAGTTCAAAAATCACCTTTAGGGACATTGAAATCGGTTTAGCAACTTGAAAGTTGTAAGAGTTTCAAGGCGACAAGAAAAATATCACCAATGTTTTCTTTCTGGATTTAAGGTCGCAAACCCATATTTTTGGGAAAAAGTTTTTTTTGTCTAGAAGTTTTCTGCTTAACTTTTTCTGTTAACAGATTTGGAAATTTAGAAATTTGCTGAAAAGCGCATGATTTCCTGTAATAATGGCGCATCGGAACATTGCAATCGGTTGGAAGTTATGATGATTTGAAGGTCGAAAAGACGATGGATGAATTCTTGTAATAAACAAGTGTTTAATTATGTAGTTCGAAAAATGGAGTTTGATAACAAGAGTCACTGATTTTGCGAGAATAGTCGATGGCAGGATTTCAATCCATCTGAAAGCTCGTTAAAATGTGTTTTCCTGCGAAAAATGACATCAGCTTAGCAATTTAACGGCAAGTTACCTAATCATGTCGAAGGCTGACGAATGGAATTCAAACCGCTTACAGTTACTTTCTGCTAGTCCCTGGTAGCTAACACCGCTATTGATCTTCTTGATATGTAAAATGCGCATTAAATGGGCGCAAACATTGTTGCCGAACAGTAAAAAATTGAACCAAAAAAAGCTATTTTGCCCATTAAACCCGATTTCTCGCATCTGCTTTCCACCGAACTTCCAAACCTTTCTTTATGCCGAGCTAAGTGTGTTAACTCGGTAAAGCTGCAATTCACCGCTTTATATGGAGAAAGGACACCCGTGGCAACATGACTTAATAATTTTTTTCGCAATTTACAGCTCGACTGTGGGTCAATGTTCACAGCAAGTCACACTCCGATTCAAGTGCATGTCTCGATAAGTTTAACGTTTTGATTGTTGTAATTTTTGCTAAAATAACAACAATCTAGAGACTATCTAATCTCGGTTTTGTTCGTATTAGTAGGCACTTTAAACCACCTAGTAATAACTCAGTTGAAGCCTTGGTCGCCCTAGGTGTAGTTCGCGATTTCAGGTAAATAAGGTTTTATTACGAAAGTATTACACATGTGGAGATAAGCGGATGTTAAACAGATTAGGGTATGGAAGATTCAACATGTTCCCCAGCTTGTTCTAGTCTGCAGGTTTAATTCCATTAAATAACTAAAAATTCCCTTACACAGTCTTGATGCATAGGATTAATTAGCCAATACTTCAGTCTAATGAAATCTTTTCGTCTAGATCTTAACTCGCCTAACAAACACTTACATCGTAGACTTTATCGGTTAGAGTGGTCAAGACCTTTATACATGAATTGATAATAAAGCGCAAATTAATAGACTCAAAATAGATAGCAAGAAGCATTGTATAGGGGAAATCAATTTAACTGAAATATTAATAAACTGGTTCTTGTTCTAGGAGCCTACGTAGACTTGAAGTCGGTCAAAATGCCAGCCGCAGCTAATAAAGAGTCGGGCGCTGCCCTCAGGAGTGATGCCATTTTCGAGTTCATTTCCGATCAAGTAAAAGCAGATCCAAACAAGGCCAAAAGTGTAGGCGGTTTGTTCCTATACAAAATCACTAAGGATGGAAAAGAAGCCAAACAATGGAGTAAGTAAATTTACCCCAATGGTTGAACCTGAGGGTGGTTTTATTGCGATATTTTCGAAACCGTTTGAGCTAAATAGAGAAGCGAGATTCTTTGATTTGGAAACCCAAAATGGGCCAGAAATCGATTGGAAGCCTTCATAAAGATTTTGCAAAAAGCATTGTTTTCATACACTATCATTTTTCTCTTAAACCGCGGACTTTAGAGGGTTTATGTAGGGGTGACTTATCTGTACTAGGGATAAGATAATAAATGTCTCCAAACTGTGCACAAAACTTCAAGCAGTTTATGAAATGATCGGGAAAAATTGCCCTAAACCCAACGCAAGCAATTTACTCCTAATGTAAACTTATACCTGCTAAAATTATTATAGCTATGGACCTTAAAAACGCCAAAGTATACCAAGGTGCACCTGAAGGAAAGCCCAGTACCACCCTAACCATTTCCGATGACGATTTCCTACTATTAGCCGAAGGTAAACTTCAGCCCCAGCAAGCATTTATGAAAGGAAAACTGAAAATTACCGGAAATATAATGCTGGCGCAAAAGTTGGCTCCTTTGCTCAAAACCAACGCCAAGCTGTAAAGTTGCTTCACACGTTTCTACTTACTTTATTCCATGATTTTGTATTTTTATCGCAATAGGTATTTGTTGTTAAGGGGTGATTATTGTGTATAAAACTTTGTTAAAGGTTGGTTTATTACAGATATTTTAATTATGTGTTTTGTTTAAATTTTTCCCTGGAAGCTAATGATTAAAGTGCTCACACTTAAACCGATGCATCACTGGCATTGTCGCCATACACATAAAGGTAATATTGTACATAAGAAATAGTCGATATCATAAATTATTTATTAATATAATGATTTGCTTATTCAATGTACAATCACAGTTCTTTTGAAGGCAATTTGGTCTTTTTCACAGGGCATATGTAGGATTCATCAATACAGAATTTTGTTTCGATATTTTCCTCCCGTTTTTGGTAGTATTTAATGATATTTTCCTCGAATTCCTCTATGATTGTTTCGCACTGCAATCAAAGATTGTTCGGTATTACGCGCAATAAATTATTGCTTTTGCTTGAGAAACTTGAATTTCAACGTTAAGAACTAAACAAGAATAAATATTTGCTGCTAAACAATGAAAACAGAGTGAAACACCAGAAGTGCCAAGTTAATTTCCTGACTGAAAGGCTTCGCAACGGCCCCAATTAGGAACCTTGTGTGATTGAGTTTTTTTTACCAAATTTGGTTTTCACCGTTTTTCAATGTTATCACCCAATAAATCATTTATCTTAATCCCCTGGCTAAGCAATTCGCATTAGCTTGAAGTATTTAAGTTAGATAATTAGCTGGTGCCCCATCTGAAAGGGGGCCAAACTTACGTAATATTTGAGACTCTTGTTCAAGTCATCATCTTGGACGAACTCCACTTCACTCATGTGAGGATTCATTTGGCCCGTAGCGGAGACCATTTTCAGGATGGTTAGCGTTCCGTTGGACTTCCACAGGCCTCTAACATAATCGTCCATTTTATTGCAAATCTGTTCCATTAGCTCTGACAGAAATATCTCGGATTGGGCTGCTGGAACAGTCCTGGGGTCGTTGTAGTTTCCTTGTGAGTCCAGCCGATGTCCGCCGATTTTTACAGTCTGAGACTTATCACTGTGCTTGACTGCCTCGGTTAGTTCTCGGATTGTTGCCTCACATACTGCAATAGTGGAGGAACCGCTGGAAAATTGAGTTTTGAGGAATCTTAGAGGTTAACTTACCTAAACACCGGACTTCTTTGTTGTCAAGCTTAACATCTTGGACCACGTCTTGGGCACTGGCGTAAAAAAACACTAAAACTACTAGAAAGAGTTGAGAAAACATTTTCAAATGGAAGCGAGCACTAAAACAAAATAAAACCCCTTTTTAGTGAGGATTTTCGAATGGAAACGTCATGTTAATGTTGACACGTTTCGAGGTTTCTATTGGTTGGCCTTATCAGGACAACACCAATTGCTTCATGGCGGCTATCCTTTGATTTACGCCATGCGACGTGCGTGTGGGACAAGGACGGGTATAGTCCAGGTGTAAAACAACCCGAATAATTATCTCTGATAATTACTGTGCCCGGAAACCGAAGGTTATTTTATCGGGTTTTTGTTGCAAATGGCCGCTGGTTGTTAATGAAGGTTTTCAAAAGCCGATGATTTTCAGATAAATTCACTTTTGGGAACTGTTTAAGAGAGCCTTAAGCCGTTTCTAAAAGAAATTCCGATGATTGGCGATTCACTGAATGCAAATATGCACTTTGTGAGAAGAGTGTTTCTAATCAGCAGGAAAACTTCGATCCAACAATCAGGAGCAATTTTGGCGCGCACTTTCATATTTTTTTCTCCGTAGCGCCTCTGGCGTGGTATCGGAAAAGCAGGGTGCATCCGTAATTTGTAAGGACGGTTCCACTAGTGAGGGCAGTAGTCATTCAATGTCAAGTAATTTTATGAAATTTCTCGATCATTACGAAGTTTTAGTGCAGGAATTTGTGTTCTCTTGCGAAAAATGCTACGTGAGACCACAATCGGGTTAGGCGGGAGTGAAAATTTGGACTAGTAAGAGTAAAATTCCTACCTGACTTTGCCGTTCCAATAAAGTGGATTCGCCCAAACAAGCTTCCAAGATTTCCAAGCGCTTCAAGCAGCCAGTCGTCAATCGGTCATCGTTGTGGGAGGTTGTCGACAGAATGTGTCAAACTTTTTCTTTGATAAAATCGGTAAAAACGCCGCAAATTGTGGAAAATCGTTTAAAAAGCTGTTCTTCGAACGGCGAAGTGTTTGTGTGCAAGAATAAATCGCATCAGTTTATCAGAGAGGGGGCTCCTGTAAGGTAAGTGGCTTATTTGGTGGAAACTCGTCGATTCACTCACTCCCTAACATTATTAGCTGTTCATTCTCATGTGCCTCGAGAAATTTGATAGAAAGTTGGGTTTATTTTCATGAACAATGCGTCCACCTTGCGTGAATGCTTGTTCCAAAATTAGCATTATAGTTTCGAGGTGAAGGCGTCTCCGGAATGCAACCATCACTATTACCGATTTAGGCCTTAAAACATTCGTGGTTTTTATTTTCGAATCAAGATAATTCCTGTTTTGTTGTTCCTGATGTTGCGGCACTTGACCTGGCAACCGCGTAAATCCTTGTTGTAACACGCGATGCGATAATTGTAGGCTTTTCTGCTCCCTAAGCCCATTTTCTGCGTGGTCTAACGTTAACAGAATAATTCTGACCGAATTAAAATCGCTCCTGGGGTATGGGAAATTCATGTAACATTGTGTATTTGTTTACTGATGACAAAGCTTAATGCCAAGCGATAATCGCCCATAACGACATGGAGTTGCAGCACGATTCTGGCAACGTTGCTCATACGTCCGGTTCCCTGCCCTTCTACTTCTCCCTATCGATTCCACTGTGCACCAATCGGGAGCTCGTTGTGGTGCTCGCGGGAGCCAATTTATCTTCACGGCGTTGCCGTCACAATCGGCCACATAATTACGTCCAGCTGGGAATTGCTATTTTTATCTTTGTCGTCGGCAACTGACAACGCCGAGACATTGTCGGCGTTGCCGTCTATTTGCGTACCTGGCTGCGGAGTTAAATCCCGAGATCTCGTTTCGGTCGACCTCCTGAATTTAGTCGCCAAGCGAAATGATTTCAAGTTCGGTTAGCGTATTTTTTAACTTTTACCATATAATGAAATTGCCAACACTTTCATCGGGATGGACGTATCATTTGACTGGCACATGACACCGCGCATTCAAATCGTTGCGTAAGTTCTTAGCAGAGAAATTGCTCTTTGTTTTATTATTTATTTAATTAAGTCTCATCCAGACCACTCGCAGCCTGCAATTTAGCGACTTTTCGTACAAAATTGTGGGTTTTTCTCGGCCATTCTGGGCCTTAAATGCACTGTAAACTTGCCCTCAGCCAGCTGATCTGTTTGGTAACAGCAACATATGCCTTCAGCAGGAAATCAACAGCTTTCTCCTCCATTCTTTAACTCGTTCAATTAATTCGCTTTGTCCACCTTGACCACTGGTTCTTCTAGTCATGGGCATTTCTGTTAGGGCTGCTTTGTTGTTTTCAAATGCTGCTATTTGGGATTGCGCAATCCAGCATATTTCCACGCTCTTGTTGCCAATAAAGTGTCGAGTGTCTGCGCAGTAAAGCGGGATAATTTATAAATACTTTATGTTGAGGTTTTCGATCAAAATCGGGCTGAAAAATAATAGAAGTTTTATCGCATTTCCGAGTTTCTTTGTTCCCAATCACAATCGCACTCCGAATGGGGCAACGGAAAGGGTTCAAATAGGGCATGGCAGGTCTCGAGCTACCGGTTTTGTTTATGTGCCAGCAAAGTGGGCGTGTCGGTCCTCATCAGCTGCAGCTTGAAGCATTCCATTGCAACCGTTTTACTTTCTCAATCCTTTTTAAGCATTTTCCATGTGTGTGTTCATCAGTTATGAGTGTCTGAGCTATGACGCATTAGATCAAGAAACTGCGTCTTCTCTCTTGGCTTACCAGTGGTCTAATAATAGTGCGAAAGTAAACAAGGCACACTGATTTCTTTGGGCGGGCGTATTCTGGGAAAGCGCTTCCATTACCTTGGAAAAAATGGAAAGTTGAAACCTTTTCCCTGCAGGAGCACGCTGTTCAACAGCAACAATAACAAACATTGATCGAAACGGCGACGACCGTATTGCGTAATCCGGCCTCATGATAGCTGTTTCAGGTGTAAACAAATTAAAATGTCGTGGTGTGATATTAATTCTGTTTCGCTCGTCCGCTAGTTGTTATCACTAGCGATAAGGCGGCAATAAATCGATAAAGTTCTCCCAAATAGGTGGGCTTATTGCGCCTTTACTCTCCGCTTTTTATTAGTCAAAATGCCTGCTGCTTCGAGCTTTACAGTCTTAACTCCCAAGTCAATTGCGTTCGAAACTAATCAACCATAAACGAGATCTTACTCAAAATATCAAAAGATCGATGTAATTCGGCCAATGCTGGATTCTGGGCTAGTTTTTCTAACTTGGTTTGCTCGACTTTCATTTTTGCATCGGTAATACTTCGTTGATTCCATACTCTCGGTAATAAATGAAAAATTCAGGTATCTAGAGAGACGCGACTAAGCCGCAAAAGTTGAAATATTTCAGTTGCATTCAGTGGCAAAGTTTTATATAAAACACATGCTTGAGATGGCGTTTGTTGCACTCTTTCTGTTTCAAAGCGACAATAATGATAATAAAGAATGGGATTATGACATTTTATGTAAAATATGTCAGTTCTGCAAGATAACCATCCTAAGAAACCAATTAATAAAAATTTTGCCTTGAAGCTCAATCAAGAATCCATTTGTATTAAATAAAAATTCTCATTCCAGAACGTAGCTAGCATCGGTTATCTCACTTACACACATATGACTCTCAACGAGATGCACGATGAACTATGTGATGCTATGTTCCAACTTGACACCTTCACCGCTGAAAATATCAGCAAGGCAAAATGGTTTTAGGTCAGTTTCGAATTACGTTACGCATTAAAGGCAAGCCCAAAGTCAAAAATCCCGTTAAAACTTTTACAGAATTGATGATTAGGCGGTTGTTGATGGGAATTTGCTGTTGACGTTGTAGGTGAGTTTGCCGCCAAAGCAGACAAACGTCTGAAGATGGTAGCCTTGGGTGCCAGCAAAACGTCAAGAGCAAATTCCTAACGAATAACCCGAAAGTTGGTTATAAAATGTATCGCCACTTTTCTTCACTAAATTTGTCAACATTTTTAAATGTTATTTCTTAGCGTGGTTAGCCTGCAGAACTGTCAACTTTTGCATTAAATGTCATACTCGGTTTTCCTTGTGAAGGTCCTGAACTTTGTCTGTCTCAGTTGCCTCAATAGAAAAACACTTAGCAAATTGGTAGATTGTAAATATGCCAAAATACAGTGGATTCCCGATCACACCGATTTTTTCCCAACAAGGTGCTAAATAAATAGACCCCCCATTGTCCTAAAAACCCTCGAAATTTAGCACCTCTAGGAGATGCTGTTATTTGTCAAGAATAGAAGCTTGCCGTTAGTTTGGGTTGGTTAGAAGAATAACAGCTTCTCTTCAAATTCAATGATATTTTCATTAAAAAAATCGTTATTTGAAGGCAAGGAACTGCGGGTTTATTCTTGTCGGGATCAAGTCCAGGTACTTAGTATGTGTTACCTTTGCTGAAACTAGTTCTTTGTTATGAAGGTCCTTCGGGCCACCCATTAATTCAGCTTGGTGTCTTCAATAAATTATACGGTCCCGGAAATTGGTCGGCTGCTTTCATGAATATTGCGGTTTTGGATGAATCACGCTGTTTGGGTTTCATCAGCTGTCTTAATTGCGTCGCTTGATCAAGAACATGAAACTTTTCTTTTAACATGCACGATGGTTCGATTAGGCAGAGTGAGTTACATTTTATTGGTCATGGATTTGCAAGGCAAAACTCGTAGATTTTAAGTTTTGGAGAACCCAACTAGGAAACTGGCCAAGTCACACAAAGTGGTTTTTTATTTATTGAAAAACAAATTGATTTTATTGATGCGTTTAAAAACTGTTCTCCCGTACGTAAGTTCCCCTAGCCTGGAAACGACGCTATTTCTGATCACTGTATATCTCTCTGTTTGTTGTTTCAGCCATCTGAGGGTAATTTGAGATGAAACGCTTACGAGTGGATGATCCCTCTAAGGAAGGAAATGGACCGCCCCTGTCGGGGTCCCTGTATCGAACGACTCTACCAAATGCAGCACCCGCCTTAGCTTTCGCCAGTGGTACTGTGAAAGTGTTGAGTGAGGGTATGCAATCTGGACTGTATACGCAACCGCAAGCGCAGGTCAGCTACAGCACGATGCCGGTTGCAGCAGCACCTCATGCGGGCGCTAAGCCGCAAGCCATGCCTTTGTCAGCTACCAGCCACAATGCGATGCGGACGACTGGATCGTCATCGCCCAGCGCGAATCTCCAAGACCCAGTCCAGCAACAACAATCTCCAGGCAGTTTTCAACGTCTCAAAGTGGAAGACGCACTGTCCTATCTTGACCTCGTTAAGTTCAAGTTTGGCTCCAAGCCACAAGTGTACAATGACTTTCTGGACATTATGAAAGAATTCAAGACTCAAAACATTGATACGCCTGGTGTTATCGAACGTGTTTCCAATTTATTTAAAGGTTTCCCGGACCTGATTGTCGGCTTCAACACCTTCCTCCCGCCAGGGTACAAAATCGAAGTGCAAAGAAGTGATCAGGGCGGGTACGCTTTTTCCGTTTCGGTCAGTGTGCCAAACCCGACTGGTACCATATCGTCTGACCAGCAAAAGTCAGCGATGATTTTAACGGGGAGTGGCCGCATCAATATGTCGGCCACTCCAAGTCAGCCGGTGAGTCAGCCACCGCCTCCGCCACCTCCTCCTCCTCAACAGTCAATTCCATTGGCGCCGCAGCCCCATCAGCCTCCTCAGCCGGTACCTCAACAACATATTTCAGCGGCGCCGCTCCAACCTTCTCTCCCGCCCCCAACGGTAGTTCATCATTCTAGTTCCGGCTATGGAATAGCAACTGCTACTAATTACGGCTTGTCTCTATCAGCTGCTCAAGCAGCAGTCACTCATGCTCTGCAGGGAAACACCGACGCACCACAGAATCAGCCCGTTGAATTCAACCACGCTATCAACTATGTCAATAAAATCAAGGTGCGTGTCCTCTTTACCACACTTTTTCGTTTTAGTGCCCAATCTTAATTTGTCCATTTTTCTGAATTTTGCCACCTTGTTGGAAAACCACTGTTCGATCGACCCAAGGTCAACAAACGCATTGTAGTTTCTTATATAATTTATAATCACATGCCACCATGTTGGTGGCTTTAACACCGAACTAAAAAGTAGACTTATTCACACTCAATGTGTTGCTAGTACGTGAAACTTATTTTTTTTTGATTTTATTGGACGTTTTTGGCACAAACTCATGGATTTTTTAAATATTTTAGGCAAAAAATAAGCTTCGGTGCGATACCGGTTTTCTTCCCATGGCAATACAGATTCTGCTCAAACCAAATGACCCGTAATCATTTGTGATCCTTTGTTGAAGATCATCAACTGATTCTCGGTTGTAAACCGAAAAAATGTGCTTTTATTCCAATCCCCCAAAGGAAACTCAGTTGGACTTCGTCCAATTCGTCCATTCATAAGTGGTAGACACTCTTATTTCTGCAGTATTTTCTGTTGAAACTTTATCATTTAAACATGTTACGAATGGCCCTCTCTGAATAAGTGAGGATTTGAATAACTGCACTGCTTTACAAGGTACGCGAAAAAAGTTCCATAAGGAACTGAAAACAGCGACAACCCTAAAACTCCACGTGACAAAAAGTTCAATTCGTTTCCCTGTACAAGTTTGTAATTTTTCAATATCTTTTGGATTCCGGGCGAGAACTGCCGGAGCTGTGGCAGCTCCAGTCAGAAATTTCTCCGTTTAAGTAATTCTACTAGGTGCGTCAGAAACTCCCTGTATACTGCAACTACAATGAATTTAACTAAGTAACTGCAATAAACTATTTGGTACTAAGCAACTTTGATTTATATAACTAAGCACGTTCGACCAGCAATTAAAAAAAATGTTCTTGATTCCAATACGTGCAGTTTTAGTGCCGATTTATACTCCAATATGTAAGTTTTTTTCATATTCGCAGAATCGTTTTCAAGACGAACCAGAGAAATACAAGCGGTTCTTGGAAATACTGCACACGTATCAAAGGGAGCAGCGGGTGATGAAGGAGGCGAATGTGACGCCTCCGGGAAAACCTCTAACCGAGCAAGAAGTTTATAGTCAAGTTGCCAAATTGTTTGAGAACCAGAGTGACTTACTCACCGAGTTTGGGCAGTTTTTGCCTGATGCGACTAGTCATATTAACCAGGCCCCTGTTTCCGAGCATTCCAACTCCAATAGCAAGAAATCTTTGAAACCGTATCATCGGGATCACATGCCCGATCGTCATATTTCGCACAAGACGAGCCATCAATCAGTATCAATGAAGAGATCGTCGCCCTACTCGAACTTCCACCAGAGGGATGCGCCGTCCCCTAAGAAGCAAAAAATTTCTCCCGCTTACCGCGATGTTAGTTTAAGCGAAGCAGGAAAGTATGGGACCTTAAATGACTATGCATTCTTCGATAAGGTCAGTGGTTGCCCCAATTATTCGGAACCCAACAGCAACGTTTCACGGTTTTATCTTGCAGGTGCGAAAGGCTTTAAGATCGTCAGAAGTCTACAACAATTTCCTGCGCTGCCTGATCCTATTCAATCAGGAAATTCTCTCAAAAAGTGAACTATTGCAAGTGATCACACCATTTCTGGGCAAATTTCCCGAGCTGCTCAGATGGTTCAGAGAGTTCATGGGGCAAAACGAGAACGAGCCCATTCCCTATAATGTTACAAGATCTGAACGTCCTCAGGGCGATCATATACTCGAAATAGACCTGGCCACTGCCAAACGCTTAGGAGCAAGTTACTGTGTCATACCGAAAGCTCAAGAGGGACAGAAATGTTCCGGCAGGACGCAATTATGCAAGGAGGTGCTGAACGATCAGTGGGTGTCATTCCCCACATGGTCTGAGGACAGCACCTTTGTGAGTTCTCGAAAAACGCAGTATGAAGAATACATGTACCGGTGTGAGGACGAAAGGTTTGAGCTAGATGTTGTTATAGAGACTAACGCTTCAACAATAAGGGTGCTTGAAGCGGTTAATAAAAAACTAAACAGGATGGGGCCAGATGAAATTGCCAAGTTTAAATTGGACGATTGTCTCGGCGGCAATTCGCCCACATTGCATCAGAGAGCACTCAGGCGAATATACGGGGATAAATCTGCTGAAATAATCGAGGGTTTAAAGAAGAACCCTGTTGTTGCGGTTACCGTAGTCCTTAAGCGACTGAAAATCAAGGAGGATGAATGGAGAGAGGCGCAAAAAGGCAAGTAAAACCTAAGCGTAATGTTTCCACCGGGTAGTTATTTTCACTTTCTCTAGGATTCAATAAAATATGGCGTGAGCAAAACGAGAAGTACTACTTGAAGAGCTTGGACCATATGGGTATTAACTTTAAGCAAACGGATGTCAAAGCCATCAGAACCAAAAGCTTGTTCAACGAGATCGAAACCATCTTCGATGAAAGGCATGAACAGAACGAGGAGGGCGCTGAGCCCATGTACGGGCCCCATCTGGTTATTGCCTACCGGTAAGACTGCTCAATTGAAGAAATAACAAACTTTTCAACTCGGTAACTTCTGTTGCAGTGATAAAGGTATTCTGGACGATGCAGCCAATTTATTAGTGCATCACGTCAAACGACAGACGGGCATTCAGAAGGGCGAAAAGCGAAAAATCAAGCAACTCCTCAGGCAATTCATTCCGGATTTGTTCTTCCACACGCGGCAGCCTTTTAGCGATGACGAGCGTGAAGATGACGGTAAGCAGTGGTTGAAAAGGAAATTACGTTTTATCATGAGGATGTTTGCGTGATTTCCAGAGGAGGATGAAAAACGCAGCCGCAGTAGTTCTCCAAAAAATAGCGATAGTAAAGACGCAAAGAATAAAGATGACGGTGCTGTGCCAGGGCCTAGCACAGAAAGAGACATCCCAGATGGGAAATCCGAGCCAGAAGTGAAAGATGAGGACCTGAAAACGCCACTTCACGCCCAAACTTCGATTCCTGTAAGTCAGTTTGCCGTATTAGCTTCATTACCACTAAACTGTTTCCTGAATAGGATGAAGCGTACACGCTGTTCATGGCCAACAACAACTGGTACATTTTCCTAAGACTGCATGCCATCTTGTGCGAGCGTCTGTTGCGCATTTACGAACGAGCGGTTCGGCTAGCACAGGACGAACGCCGCAATGGAGAAAACCGGAAAGACAGCACTGCCATAGCGCTGAGGTTGAAACCTAAGCCTCAGATAGAGTTTGAAGACTATTATCCGGCTTTTCTCGATATGGTCAAGAATCTCCTCGATGGAAACATGGAAGCGAACACATACGAAGACACATTGAGGGAGATGTTTGGCATTCATGCCTACATTGCTTTCACTCTGGACAAAGTTGTATCATATGCTGTTCGGCAACTTCAGCATTGCATAACCGAAAAGTAGGTCGTTTATATTAATATTGCAAAAAATCAATGGATAATTTACGGTTTTGGTTTTTCAGAACCGCGTTAGGTTGTACAGAATTATATTTAAAAGAGCATAAGCGTGGTGCCGCCGGAGGTCCTTGTGCCACCGCGTACAAAAGAGTACACAGTGAACAGGCGTACCAGAGGGCGGCCGAAAAAGTGGTCCAAGAGGAAAACTGCTTCAAAATATACATCTACAAATGTGACTGTAGGATTTCTATTGAGTTGCTTGACACAGAACCGGAAGATTCAAAGAAATTGGACGAGGCAAATGTGAGTAGCCCGTCTAATTTTACGAGAGATGGATTATTAGCTTTGTGTTTTGTTCCCAACGGGCGGGATCTTAAAGATGCAAGCGTCCCATACGTGTGTGCGCTGTCTTTATTTTCATTTGTTCTGGCGCGATTTCAGTGGGCAAAACCATTGAATTTTGTAATGCACTGTTTCTCATGAGTGTTTTTCGTATTATCAGAAATGGAACAGTTACAAAGAGTGTTATGCTGATATAACGCACGTTGACGGCATCAAACCGAGGTCGCCGGTATATTTGACTAGGAATCTCCAATCGTCGAAACAGTACTTATCCGCTAATAGAAAGCCGAGAAGTAGCTCTGTCGATGACGACGATGGTCAGAGGGAAAATCTACAGGTACGCAAAATCACCACGAACCTCAGCCAATAAATCATTGGGGCTTTTCATTTGTCCGCTAAGAACGCGTCACTATTTCTGCTTGCCAAAGTTTGGCTAAATCGGTTCACTCCTTCAGTTTTCAGGAGTTGACAAAGTTGGTGTAAAGCCCGTGTCCCATGCATCCGTTTGTACGATGATACGATAGTACGAAAGTGTTTCTATTGGTTGGAGATCTGTCAATTCGTTCGCCGTCTTACGAACGGAGGACGAATTGACAGATCTCCAACCAATAGAAACACTTTCGTACTATCGTATCATCGTACAAACGGATGCATGGGACACGGGCTTAAGTGAAGCGCGAAAATGGCAAAATTTGTTAGCGGACAACATTTTTGTTGTTTATTGCTTATACAGAGGCTGTTAAAATTTAGACCAAGCGTCGACATATGACTTTTTTTATGCGCCCGAATATAGTCCAATCGAATAAAACACTGATTTTTCAGTTGTTTCAAAAATTGAAAAAAGTTGGRRCAAAAAGGCGCTGCTCGAGCAACTTTTGAAGCAACGAATTTTGCTTTCACTACTTTCAGTTTTTATTTATGCCGCCGCCGAACTTTTAACAATCTGAAAAATAAGTCGTTTATCCGATCACAGTAGATTTTGGTGTCTAAAGACTGTCTTCAGAATCAGTGTCGAAAGAAAAAAAAGTCGGGGTTTCAACCCGGAAATTCAGCTCGTTTATTAAAGACATATGACTCCATTTCTACGCCAAATTATAGTGGAAATGGATACAAGAGTGATTTTTCAGAGATTGATAAAAGATAGACCCGAGCGGGACTAGAATAAAAGCTGAAAGTCGCCAAAAAATTCATGGGTTTAAAACCGGATTAAGGACTTGGAATTTTGTCAATAGCCTTAGCCGAAAGTAACCATTGCATTTGTCTGTTTAGAACCAAAGAGAGGCGAATCATTCAAGTTCAAGAGCAGAAAATGTTGAGAAAATGGACATTTTCGAAGCTCTCGAGCGAAAACTCAATGAACGCGCCCCGGAGAGAAACGAGACGGTCCATCACGGCTACCAGATCAATGACGAACAGGAATGCAAGCTAAATATGCCCGACTCTAAAATGGGCTACAGTTTCGGAAAGAATTGCTATATGTACAAAAAATGTGCCTTCTTCAAAGCCAGACAGGTTTGTTTGGATTGATTATTTACCGCTAAACGTTGTCGGTCTTTCGCTGGTTTCCATTCAGTGTTAACGCATGTTTGTTTCAGTCCCATCCAAAAGTGACGAAATTCAAATCGACGAAGTTCCGAAGTTGGTTGAAAAAGTGGGCCAGCGCCAATGTTACGGACGCTCAGTCAAAACAGTGTACAGACTGGCTGATGGGCCGCAGTGAAGGAGTTGTTCCGAATCGAACGCGTGTGTTAGCAGACAATGATCTTCGACGGACTCCTTACGTGCCCTATAACCGATATCGTGTAGATCGGTTGGTTAGTGAAAGCGCTAGTGCGACGTAGAAACGGCGAGTTGTTTCTTCGGCTATGTTCAATTCGTAGTTGTTTTTAGTTTTGCGGCCGTTTCTGAGAATTTTGCACGAGTACAAATGCCCGATATTGATGCATTTGTTGCAAAGTTTTCAGTACAGTGCCGCCTGAGCGGTTTATGTGTTTTATCCGTTGATTTTGTTAACTTCAAGAGTGCTAAAATGCAAATTGCAGTTCCTGAAAGTTACGTATTAGTGTTTCCAAGTCGATCTCCTCATTGCTTTCGAGGTGTTCACTGTTGAAACTGGTAGAATGTATTTTTTAACTTTGTTTCTTAAAGTGTATTACAATAAATTTCATCCCAATTAGCAATTGTGTTGTTATCAAATGTATAAATACTAACAAGGTTTACTAGAGATTTTTGTTCTTTAAATCAATTCCGATGTAGCTTTTGAAGCAAACTTGAGGAAACATGGAATTTCCTTTTTCAAAAAGGGAAAAAGGTTCACTATTTATAATAACATTCTACTGGTCTTACAACAGTTACTTTTTGGGACGTTTTTATCACTGAAATTGAGCGGGATTGTTCAGTATTCAAACTGCGTTCTTCCTACCCTGGCCATTTCCTCAATTGTGTCTTGCATGAAAAATCCAACAAGCAATCACTAAGGAAAGTATTAAAAAAGGACCAGTTTAAGTTGGGTAAATGTTTTTCTTTTATTGTAAAGGCATTTTTACGTAAAACGTTTTTTCATCAAACTTTTACTACTTTTAAAACTTATAGACAATGAACTGTAATATCGAGCTTAAGTTGAACAAATGATAAACATCCATACAATCACTGTGATCAATGTCTATAACCAGATGCTTGAAGTAAACTGCTCAACAAAATATTCGTTCACGCCTAAATTTACCATAAATTTGGAAGTGGATAAATTCTGATTGCTTCAAGCGATTTGGTTTCTGTTTAAAGCGCTATTGAGCCCCACTTTTTATTGTTAATCAGTGTTTTAATAAACATTTCAGAGGAATTTTCTACAATGCGGCAAATGAAAAACTTAAAAGTTCGTCATGGAGTTGGACAAAAAAGGGTTTTAAATATCAACATCAAAAGTTTAAAGATAAAGCTCAAAAGGGTTTTTTAATTTTTCGGCCATTTTCCATTTGACAAAAAACGTTTTTTTTTGTCTGTGGAGCATTACCAATTTTGCATTGTTGCACTGTAGAAAATCTATCGCAAGCCCAATGTTTTCCAAAACACCAACTAATAAAAAAATTGCACTAAATATCGCTTTAAACCGAATTGAAATCGCTCGCAGCAATCATAGTTGATCCAAATTTCTCAGTGTAACGTTGATTTTGTCGAGCAGTTCATTTGTGAAAATGGTCATATGCAAGTTGGTTAGCGTAGTTTGGTAAAATTATATAAATTTCGCATTTTACATTGGTTATTCGATCGCACAAGCATTTCAACGGATTTTTTTCTATTTATTACTGCAATCCTCCGGTGATACTTTCTGTTATACAATTAAGAGCAAAGACAATTGTTTTGTACATAAATATTTTTATGTAATGGATTTTTAGAGTTGATCCAGCTTGAAGGCGGCCGGAACGCTTTCAGGTGGAAAGTTTTTTTAATTCGATGGTTAATTCAATTCCATGTGTTTTAAATTTTTATGTGATACAAACCCGGTTTGTTTCGTTTGGCTTTAGTTTACAATGCCTTATTAACTTATTTTCCGTCTTGATGCTGTTGATTTTTGCCCAGGTGAACTATGCGGTATGTGACAACCCTAGTTTTAAATTCTTCTAGAATATCGGACTGCTTTTTGATAGAATGTATATATTTTTTCTTAGTTACGTTTTGTTTTAGTCTATTTATTATTTGGGATATTTTTGTGTTGTTTAAATGGAGCGTGCTTCCCTAGTTGTATATTCATACTTTCGTAAAACCAGCGGCAATTCAAAAGGAAATAAAAATTTATTATATAATATAGGTATATTTTTCTATTAGAGTTTGTAAAGGTATGCATAGTGCAACTTGTAAATCAGCCGCAAAAGTGGGAAAATAACCAAAGCGATGCAATAATTAAGCCCTCTTGAAAGTATAAAACATTCCATTTTATACCCAGAAAGTGTCGTCAATATTTGATGTTATATAGAAAATGAGGAATGAAGGATTTGGTTATTTTCGCATCTAGACCCACTGAAAGGTGTACAAATAATTTTACAGGGTGGGTCAGTATGTACACAAATTTTTATTACTGTACATAGTACATGCCATTTATATAAAAAATGAAAATATTTACAAACAAGTTTGCCTTTTATTTTCGCTTATGTACCCGACTAACAGGGGAGCGTCAAGATTTCCACCCCAGAGCGCGTAATTAAGACCGTGTGTTCGCATTGGGCGGTACGAGCGTTATCCGCTGTAGTCGCAGTCCAATCATCTTCTAGAATATCTATCAGCTCTTCGCCCTGTGTTAAGATCGGCTCAATGGTAAATGTCATGCCAGCTTCCATCTTCCCCGGATAATCGTTTCCTAAAGCAAACCACGGCAAAATTCGTCAAAGTTTAAACTCTTTTACTAACGGAAATGGAATATTTCAGGTGGTCCGTGGAAGTAATGCCCAATTCCGTGGCCCAAAAAAGCCGGAATCACTTTAAAGCTGAATGCTGCCGCAGTTTCTTCAATAATACCGCCAATGTCCCGAAAAGGCTTTCCCGGCTTACAGAGGCTGACTGCATCTTGCAAGCATGCTTCTGCGGCTGCTACCAATCTTCTGCCTTCTTCATCTACATCTCCAACCAGGAAAGTCTTCGAACAGTCGCCGTGATAACCATTGAGGAAAACCTGCGATTTTTACAAACATCTTCAACTGAAGCTGTTTGATTCACCTAAAGCTTACAGTAATGTCCACATTGATTATATCGCCGTCCTCCAAAGGTCTATCATCAGGAATACCATGGCAGGCCACGTTATTCACTGAAGTGCACACCGACTTTGGAAAGTTGCGGTAGTTTAATGGTGAAGGGTAAGCGCCAGCTTTTATACACAAATTGTGAACTATTGCATCAATCTCATCCGTGGTTTGTCCCACCTCAAATATTCTTGTAGTTCATCGATCTTTCGATTGATTGCTAATAAACCTACTTTGATACATTCCCCTGTTCGTTCTAGAATAGTTGCCGCTAGAGTGCAAGATTTTCGCATTTTCCCAATTTGTTCCTCATTTTTCACCTCGACATGCAGTATGTTTTCGAGCGGTTGCCCAGTTTTGTAGTAACTGGGCTTTGCGATGTGCTCAGGAACAGTTTTCCTTGCAGACACTTTTCCTGGCTGAACAATGGCATACTTCCCAAAGTTTGGTTTGCTGAAAAATGCCTTATTGTGACTCGTTTGGTGAGTTATCGAATGGAAAAACTTACCTTTTTTTGGAGAAGAATAATTGCCTGACAAAGTTGTTGAATCGCATGGTTTGTTCGGATATCTTTTTGATTTATTTAGTAGAGAATTCAATGCCGTCCATCTAAGACATGGTGAAGTGAATAATTTCTTGATTCATACTCAATTCATTCATGAGACGAAATTCCATTAAAGTACCAAAACCAAAATAAACAGAGCCAACTGACATCTGATCCTCTAGGTTAGGTAATTGACGTCTGATCTAAATATTCCGGGGTTGTCACGATTTACTTTTCTGCAGCAAATTATGACTACGAACCGAGACGAAAAGATTGAAATTAACTGATGGAAATGGCATCTGGTAAAAAATGGGAAGCCGTTTGGCAACCTAAAAGGGTGAACTGTCTGTAAGCAGCTAGGTTCCTGAGTTTGAAAATGAACAACTCTTTTAAGGTAAATGTGTCCTCCAGAGGCCAACCAGATGCACCACTAAAATAATAGCGTCAAACGTTCATAAACTGTTTTAGCTATTATTAAGCAATAGTGGAAGAAAGTGCTGCGATCCAAATTTTCCTTCTAAAATCGCACTTTTCCATCGCAACTTAGTAAAACGAGTAAAATTGAAGAACTTCTAATTTTTGTTTTTATAGGATTCGGTCCACTAAAACCATTTTTCCAATCCTTTCCAAGGCAAGCCTCGCAACACAGTGTTGCCAAAATGACCTCCAGCCCCATAAGGGTTAATCGCACCACCCCGAGATTGAGCAATGACCATTGACTGTGATGACAGTGACAGCTCGTATTACACAACAAAGCGTTAGAGTAGATTTTGTACCCATTTTTTTTTAAGTAATCGGCCTCTACTCGTTTTGTAGCAACTGGCGACTGTCTGGCGGCACATCGACGCTCGACGCGTTTTGAGAAGTCGAAACAGCAAGCATCCAGTTCGTGCAGTTCGAAAAGATCGCACTTCTTCAATGTGGTTGTTGTTTTCGGTCTCTCTACTCTTATAAAGAGAAAAATTACGCCTAATTCGGCGGTGTTAAATTGAAAGAAAATGTTCGATTGACTTCAGTGAAGCCCTGTGTGGTGAACATTGGCAAGTATTTATTTGCAGTCGCTTGAATGATTGTGTATTTATAAAGCATTCGCGTCAAAACAGGGTCTAAGTTTACATTGTCTCATGAAACAAACAAAATAGAGCAGCTCTTTAATTTGCTCAGTTTATAGTCAGCTAAATTTGTCCGATAGCCAAATACTCAGAGCTCAACCCTTAATCTGCTCCTATTTATTTCTAGGAATCAATCGCAATGGCTGAACTAACAAGATTCTGCTGTTTACTGTTCATCAGTCATTTGCTATCTGTACGAGCCGCCGATAATTCCCAAGATTACATTACTTGTGCGTATTACAAAGGCACTATTGAACACGTGACTGAAGAAAACACGCTAGAAGACTTGGAGGAAGATGAGGCCGTTGTCACGGAAAACTCCAGGAAGTGTTACGACAACAGCTACTGCTACACTTTGTGGCAACAGGATGCTCAAAATCGCTCTGTTATTATGGGACAAGGTAAGCGGTTCACATCTAAATGCCTCTAGCGAATTGGCTGGTTCATATGCACTTTTTATGACGCCAACTCATCTCAAGTGCTTCAAGTGCAGATTCACTCGAGAAGTCATATGCTAAGTGGTGTTATTCTTATCAGGCGCTATTAAGATGTTTGGAAGTAGCTGTTTAATTATAAGAGCACATCAAACCAGATGTCGCAGCAAAAAACACTTGTTTGCTTTCAATCAAGAACAGTATGTTTTTCAAGGGCTCCATATGGGTGTTGGATCAGTTTTAGTCACTGTTTGTTTAAAGCTCACTGAACTTTAGAGACAAATACGAGCACTAAAGAAGTGAGGAAATTCGAGGCAAATTACCACCATTTAGCACTTCTGATGAGAATATTGCACACACTCATCATTTATGAGAAATTCTGTGGATTTTTGTTTAGGATGTTGGGCACACCCAGGCAAAAACGAGTGCTTCAGATCCGCTTGTCTCACAGACAATCCGCCACCTCCAGCTCGAAACAACACGAAGTTTTGTTGCTGTTCTGAGAACATGTGCAATTTGAACTTTACTGATGCCTATGTGCCTTCAGAAGGGCCTCTTCAGAACTCAACGAAAAGCTTCGATGACGACCCAAGTCTGCCCTTGGTTATATGGACGGCTATCGGAATAGGCTTTCTGGCGTTTGTTGCCATCATGATAGTTGTTATCTATCTTTTCTGGAGAAGAGTGCCGCAGAAGAGCGACTTGGAGTATGGACATCCCATGATCCCACCGCCAGACTACAGCCTGGAAAAGTTGAAGCTGATTGATATTATTGGTAAGTTGCATTCGGGAATTTTCAGTCCATTGGGGGCTAATGCAGTTCTTCAGGTCAAGGGAAGTATGGGTCAGTGTGGCGCGGAATTATCGAGGACCAAGAAGTGGCCGTGAAGATATTCCCAGGCCATTACAGGAATTGTTTCTTCAACGAATACGAAATTTACAAAGCAGTGGGCGATGATCCCAACATCCTGAAATGCTACGGAGGCGGAGAATATTGCCGCGTGATCGGCCATCCAGAATTCGCCTTACTCTTGAGCATCGAGCAACAAAGCCTGCAGGACTACTTGAAGCGGAACGTTATGGATCTGCCAACGCTTGGCAAAATGTGCCTCAGCATAGCCAAAGGCCTTGCCCATTTGCACAGCGATATTGGCAAACCTTGCGTCAGCCATCGCGACTTGAACACCAAAAACATTCTGGTCAGAAGCGACCTTTCCTGTTGCATTTGCGATCTGGGATTGGCGATTATTCCGAGAAGCGCCGAGAGCAAGGCTCTCAGTGAAGCTGGTAAGGCGTTTTTAATCGATTTAATTCGAAAATTTGCTAATTTAATTGATTTTGCCTGCAGGTACTCTCAGATACATGTCCCCCGAGGTGCTGGAAGGGGCAGTGAATCTTTGCGACTGCGAAAGTGCTCTTAAGCAAACCGATATTTATGCATTCGGTTTGGTCTTGTGGGAAATTGGCTCCAGATGCTTGGACCTACAAAGCGCAGAGCCACAACCCTATTTACAGCCGTTCTTTAAGGAAACTGGTAAGTTTTTAAATCCAACTGATGTTTAGTGCTCAGAATTGATTTACATTAAACTATGTATGTTTCTTGCTGCATCCAAAAGGAGTTTATTGAATTGAAAATGGGTTTCAGGGGAAAATCCCACTTTGGAACAGATGCAAAATTTGGTGACTCGACGAAAAATGAGACCAGCTTGGCCACCGTCATGGAAGGACTCGGCTGCTGCAAGGGCTCTGACTGAAACCGCCGAAGAGTGTTGGGATCAGGTAATTTATCGATTCTGATATGATTGAAAATTCAATTCTTTTCCAGCCATTGAAAAGTTGTGAAATGTTCTAGTCTAGTTTTGATTAATCCTTGGTAATGCGCCTTTATTCAACATAAACCATTTAGTGGAGTAAACTAGCACTGTCAACGATTAATTAACACTTTTTTTAGCAAATTTCCAGTAGTTTGAACTGAATTCTAGTTACTTTTAAAAATGCAGTGAAGAATTTCTTACTTCCTAATACTTAATGTGCATTACATGGTCCAGGTATCCGTTTTCTGGTGCAAAAGCAACAGTCAGGCATATCAAAAACCGATTTTTTTAAATGCGAAAAGCGTCTAGACAGATAATGGCAAATTCGTTATCTAAAGTTAGTTCAAAAAGTGTGTAAACATCTGTTATCTGGGTTATACGCACTTTTACAGCTGCTATCGCACAATTATTTGCAAAACTCGAGCACATTGAATTTATTTTCAAATATTTGATCACTTTTTGGATTCTACCATTTTCAGGACGCTGATGCTCGTTTGACCGCCCTTTGCGTGGTGGAGCGATTTCTGGATTTGCCCAACATGAAGGGTCGCGCCTTACATCCAATGCATCCGCCTGCCAGTCCTACACCTTTGATTAATAATAATCACTTACATGATAATCCGATTGATGCATCGGTTGGCACTGTTGATACCCTGCTATCACCATCAACTGAAGAATATTGCAAAAACTCGAATCAGCTGGCCGCTTGTGTCCTGCCCCTACAGCCTCATCAAGGTAGGAAAAAAATTGTTTTTACGAATTTTTGACCCATGGATTAGAGAAACTTTCCAGGGTTTAGAGCCTCGAGCGTCTTCTGCACGGTGTGCAATTTTGAAGTGGCTTCTTGCTCTGCATGAGATGTTAGTAATTTTTAATGTTCATTTTTGGACCATCATCCACACGGTGGACAAAAATCATAATTTTCTGCGATTAGTGTGAAACTTTCAGGGGTTTGCGGCCTCACCTTCTTCCATAGGGTGTGCGAATTTGAAGTTGGTACTTGCCCTGCATTGGAAGTTGGACATTTTTTAAAGCAAGTGCACATTTTTACTACGAAGTTTATGGCGATTAAATTAGGATTTTATGATTTAGTTGCAAATTAACTGGCAGTAAAACAGTTTCAAGATTGTGTTTGTGTTTGATACACTTTCAGGTTGCCGGAAAAAAGCCGTTTGCGTTTTCCAACGGAGTTTTTTACGCAAATGGCCATTCAGATCAGAACTAAGACATTTCTAGAACTAGAAAAAAAATAGTTGCCGGCACAGGGTTGGAAAAACTTAACGTACAACTTATAAATCGGTTGATTGTTCATTGCAGGTAGAAATCCGTGTTTGGAGCGAAACCTCCTGTCCGGCTCCAGTGATAGTCTTCTAATCGACAAGTCTTCAAAGCATTGTACTTCGTCTGAAAGCCAAATTCTGCTGACCAACGAGTTTTTGAACTACCAAATGAACAATCGAGCTGCCCCCATTCCGTATGTGCAAAACGCTGTGTACGGGCTGCCGAAGCAGCAAAACATCCCCCAGCCGGCTGCAGTGAGCCAAACCCAAAGAAAGCGGTTCAAGTGGAGCAGCTTCAAGAAGCTGCTTCATGCGAACAAGTCTGCGGATAGTCGCAACAGCCAGAAACAGACGCAAGTGAGGCTCAAAAGCAAAATCGTCAACAGTTCGGGTAAGGAGGAGGCCAAACAAGCAAAGCTGATAAATAAGGCCGGGTCTTGTAGGGGGCAATTCGGGAGTGACGACGGCCCTGTTGGGAGAGCCTGAGGTAAAACGGCCCTGCACTTTGGGCCTTTCCATTGCCAAACCCCAGGAGTTCTCCAATAACAGTGGAGTTACGCAGATTGTGGGCCGAAAGAACAGCTTGTCACGGCAGCGGTCGTTGGAACAGTTTTCAGAGGTAATCCCACTTTAACTGGTCCCGGCTGTGGTGTTAAAAAATGGGGCAATTCCAGGTTTTTTCCTCCACCACTGACCTATCAAGACTGAAAGACCCTTCGCAACATGTGAAAACGCCGGGAGATGTGCCGCCCTCCGTGCGGAAAACCAGAGGAAAGGCGTCGGAAAATTCGGCCCGATTTTCCCTGTATGACGATCGCATGATGAGCAGGGGCTCGTGGGGGAGCGCTCCGGACCTGGACCCTCCGGCCCTGTTGACCCACACTCAGATAAATGGGGACAACAGTGCGAGCGTAAGTAGTTTTTAGTGCAGTTTGGTCTTCCGACTCGTAAAGATGCGAAAGAAGTTTTTTAACATGCTTTTTATGTTGATTCTGTGTGAAATTCCGGGAGTTTTCTATTCTTAGAACTCCCTACTGTAGCGATCGGGATTTGGAAATTGATGATATATGTACATACGTCATTGGCAAACATTTAAAATATGAAATTATTAGCCAACTGTATTATGGAAATTAATAGTTTTGCACAGTTTCCTCTACCATTTTAATTCTTTTGTCCTGATATGTACTCATACGTGCCGAAAATCAGGGAAATATTGAAAACTCTTGAAAAGTAGGAACGTGTCGATGTAAGCTTTAATTGGAAAGGTTCTACCGAAGGAGCATAAGATCGGAAGGTGTGAGGAAGCCGTTCACATTTGAACGACTTCTGAATACCGACGGAAAATTATATTGCTTTCGATTTTCATAGCGAACAACTCGCAATGGAGGGTAGGATATGTATACGTAAGATGTCTATACTTATTGCAGTTTATCGTTGATATTGTCACTTCAGGAACCTTTTGTCGTCTTTTGATTACTTATTAAGTAATTGTTTTTTGTGTACTTAATACGAATGGATCGTTTGTTCCCGTTCCATGCTATGTGATATAGATGTGATTTATTTTAGACGAAATTCCATTAAAAAATTAGTCGGCTAAGCCAGACTTACTTGTCTCATTGGATGTAAAATTGTATTGTGATACATGCAAAAAAACGAGTAGTTTCTAGTTTATTTGCATCACTGATTTAAAGGACGACAAAGGGCACGAAACGTTCAAGATCTTTTACATAAATATAAATATATATATATTTACGTTTGCTTCGATTATATTAAGGATATTTAGAGATGTGGCTGCCTACATAGAAGGCCTGTAACTGAATGGTATAATTGTTAAGTTAGCGGTAGCATCCGAGTAAATTAGATTTTATACTAGATTTACGAGCTGAGTGATTTGATGTTTCTTAATGCAATGCAAGTTGCGTGATACAAATCGTTTAAAAAAATGGCCTTATTTCCCATGTTGTTACAAGCTTACATGTTTATTTTGCGTGATTGACATGCGTACCAATCGACGTGTACTGTGTATATTAAACATATTAAATTAGAAATTTCAATGGTCACACACTTACATTCATGTTTTTTATTTGTCGGTGCTTTGAAAGCCAGTTCATTTGCCTTTTTTTCTGATTGGTTCGAAGGGTTTGGAAATCCCAAGTGGATCAGGTAGAATCAAACTGGCATCTGAAAGAAATCCTTTATTTTTGCAGTTAATGTGTCCTAATTCTCAAATAACATATTTGCCAATCGTCAATTAACACCTTAAAAAACAGCTGATAAACTAAGAACAGTACAAAAAAGTTCAAACCGTAATCTCAATCAATAGCATTGCTACCGAGTGTGTATACATATATTTAAAAAAGTTCCAGTCGTTTATAAAAGCACTGGGAATGTAATTGTATGCTGTTGTGGTTGAGTAGAAAGCGGTAGTAAACGTAGCTTTTCACTTAAATCTCAGTCTTTTATTCGTAAAATTAGATCTGAAACAAATTCCTAAAAAATCACAATTTTTTCTCGAAAAAATGCTTGCGATAGAAATGGAACGTTTTTGAGTGCGTCCGCCAGACGATCCACCTGTAGCGCAACCATTTTGCCGCATTCACAATAGCACAAAACACAAAGTGATCAACATTGCTGGGTCTCAGTCGATCATAGGTAAAACTCTGAATTGCATAATTGTCCGGCAACCATCACTTCAGGCGCTCGACTACATCTCTCAAACTTAACGTTAATAAATAATGAAGTTATACGTTAAAGTAGGCAATTATTAACAATAGTCTAGAAATAAATAATGTCGCAGCATGTATATTTATAATCAGTTTTTGTCACATTATAGTCGAATGCTATGAAGTTTGAATACATTTAGTTTTGGCTTGATTAATATTTAAAAAAAAACTGCCGAAGTAACGTTTTGCGCTGTAAAAGTCTTCAAACCTCAAACTTGTCATTTCATGTTGCTTAGGTGAGGGTGCAAAGCGGTAGCAATAACACCGTTTAAATTTCTATTACTTTAAGTAAAAATTGGGCAATTTTCAGCTAGATTCCGGCACGAAAATTTTTATACTGGGCTGGCTAGACTGTTGAGCTTTCATCGCTTTTCGCCGATCCTCCATCATCTTTTTTCGCTGCTCTTCGCGCATTTTGCGCGCTTGTTCAGCTGCTGCATTCATCTTCGGCTTTGATACTATTTTGCGTGGTTTTGATGAAGCGCCGTTCGTTTTCACTTCCTCTTTTGTCGTGGTATCCTACAATAGATTCTCTCTTTGTAATATACAACAGAAATAAGAATTTTTTTTTTAAATTTAATCGACTGGGCACCAGGAGTATTTCAAATTACACCAAATGGGGTTTTCCTGTAAATGACTGGCGAACTTAATTGTTCTATTGGACTGGAAAACTGAACTTTTTTTAGATAGTTGCTTTGCTTATCTCTTCGGTAAACCCCTGATATAACCGTGTTTAGCGATCGAAATGTGTTCATAATCGGGAGATTATTTTGGAGATAAATTTGGGTGCGTAGCTTATCTGCAAACCTTAAATCTTACCTCGATCCAATTATTCTGCCGCAATGTGTCTATATCTTCAAAAATCCTATCCACCTGGTCCACTTGCAACATGACCATGTCCCAAAAGCCTTGCAAGTCTTGATTAGTAGTCGGGAATGCTTCTCCTGCACACTAAAACCATTCATTGTATTTATCTTGGCATTTAGTAGCAATTATCTCCAGTACCTGGTTAATATTATTAGTACACAGCCCTTTGAATTGTTGTATCTTCTGCGAAACCAGCAGCTTGGCCTTGCCGGATGCTGATCTTAATTTGCCGATAATTTCCTCGGACAAATTGGGATTTTCAATATCGTCGTCCACTCTGTCGGCCAGTGCCAACAATCTGTTACTCTGCTCGTCCAGGATTTTCAAGAAATAATGACCGTCTTTTTCACCTGAAAATCAACATGCTTAGCAGTGGAATTTAGGCCCAAATAATTCATTTTTTATCAAGGACGGTTTAGAAGCACAAAACACTCATAAGATCAGAACCATTATGGATTAAGAGTGGTGACTATGGAGTTATAAATTACCTGGTTCATGATAAGGAACCATTTTGATGGAGCCGTTGAAAAGCCAACAAATGACCATATGCACATTCAAAATAACATAGTTCAAGTACTTGGTCAAGTCCCAAATCGTTCGCACTAAAGTCGTACTAAAACTACTGCCACGGCTTGAAATCGTTTCCATATTTACATAGTTTTTATGCGGCCAATTCACTGATCAATTTACGGGCTTTTTCAGGCAAAAAAACAGGAAAAAATTCATGAATTTTATGCGCGAAAACCGAAAATGTATGCGTGACTGTGACGGCTACTAGTAGTATCAATTGTCAGAGGAATATTATTTTACGTCGATTGATTACATTTTTCATCAGCAGCAGGACCGCACCTGAACGCAAAACTTTTTTTGGTTTGCTCAATTGGGGCAAGTTGGAGAATTACAGGAACTGTGCACTGAAGTCTTGAATAACGCACAGAAACGTGCAATTTT